AGCGGACGTAGTGCACGCTGCACGACTGCATTCTATACCCTTTCAACGCGCTAATGCAAGCAGTGAATGGGGTTCGACTCCCCACGTCCGCTGAGGCTTTGATCATCTTTCTCTCTCAAACTGGAGACACAATTATCTGAGTTCTCGAGGTGTAGAATAGAGGTAGGAAGCGGACGTAGTGCACGGTGTACCACTGCATTTGATTATTGAGGTGGTGTGAAGTTACAAGCAGTTGAGGGGTTCGACTCCCCGCGTTCGCCTCGCTCTTGTCCCTCCGACTTTTTTTCGGTCCCAGCTCGAATGAGACTACCTCAGTTAGAAGGGAGTGGGAGGACAGAGGAGGCGGACGTAGTGCACGGCGCACCACTGCCTTCCATGCGTCGGAAACACAGAAAGTGAAGCAGTCGAGGGGTTCGACTCCCTGCGTCCGTCTTGCCCAACGTTACACCTCTTTTTCTTTCAATCTGGATAAATTCATATGAGTTAGAGGGAAGGAGAAAAGGTGGGAAGCGGACGTAGTGCACGGTGCACCGCTGCACTCCTTACAGTAGTTGTTTAGGACCGCCAGATGCAAGCAGTCGATGGGGTTCAACTCCCCGCGTCCGCCTTGCCCGCCGTTAGACCTGTTTTTTTTGCTCAGAGTCCGAATAAAATCTGCTGAGTTAGAGGGGAGTGGAATGGAGAGAGGAAGTGGACGTATTGCACGGTGCACCACTGCCTTCTGTAATGGTTGACCCCAGAATGAGATGCAAGCAGTGAATGAGGCTCGACTCCCTGCGTCTGCCTCGCCCCCCGTTACAGCTCTTTTTTTCGTTCACAGTGCAAATAAAATGATCTCAGTTGAAAGGGAACGGAATGGAGAGAGGAAGCGGACGTGGTGCACGGTGCACCACTGCTCTTTCAACACGCGGATGCAAGCAGTTGAGGGGTTCGACTCCCCGCGTCCGCCTGCCTAGTTTCCTGTCTCTTTTTTTCTTTCTCAGCTAGAATAAAATTATCCGAGTTAGATGGGAGTGGAATGGAGGTGGTAAGTGGACTTAGTGCACGGTGCACGACTGCATTTAATTATTTTACTGTAGGAAGATTGCAAGCAGTTGAGGGGTTCGACTCTCCGCGTCCGTCTTGCCCACCGTTACACCTCTTTTTGCTTTCACAGTCGGAATAAAATTATCTCAGCTAGAAGGGAGTAGAAGGTGGAAGGGAAGCGGACGTGGTGCACGGCGCACCACTGCATTTAATTGGGCTTTTCGGCTTTAAAGAGTTGCGTGCAGCTGACGGGTTCAACTCCCCACGTCCGCGTTTCAAGTTATTTTTATTCAGAACTTGGCGGGAACAGACAAATATGCCTCTGGAGAGTGAGCGCCGTGCACCACTGCTCTCTGTAGTGAAAGATATCCGGCCAGTTGAGGCAGTTGAACGGGTTGAACTCCACACGTCCGCCTGTGTCCCGATGAGCCCAGGGCTTCCTTGAATTGAATAAACCTGAGAGGAATCACAGCAGCGCCTTATCTGAGTCTTCGAGACTTCAATCTCCTCGGCCATATCCCTCCCCGAGATTCACCAGCACGTACCTCATACGTCACCTTCTAGCGCGCAGCATTATGCGCCGACGGGGACCTGTGCGGCGTCGTGCGAAGGGCGATAATTTTGGGGCGCCACCATGCGACGATGCGACAATATGGGCATGCCGCAATCCACAACTCGAGTTCCTGCCCCGATAAGTACGTAAGATGCACACCTCGGTCGCTGTTCATTCTTCGCTCACAGTCAATTCACGCCGTTAATTACCACTCGATATTAAGCGCGATACGCGGGTTTCGGAGAGGACTGAATATAGTTCCGTCGATCGCGATTCCCATTGAGTGGACGGAACCAGATATGTATGTGCATCGCGATCGCGATCGTATTTCAATGATGTGAAATCCCCCCCCAGTTTAACCTGTCGTATGTTGGATCTCAACGTATTCAGCTCAATTTATCGCACAATTTGTCGCACCCTTCTGTATGGACAACGTCTTCTAGAAGACCTTGAGTCGAAGGGTGGTCGAAGCCCTTTGGAGCTTAGGATGTAATTCCTGAGATTGGGGGCCGGGGAAATCTAATTTCCATGAGTTTAATTGCCTGTGGCAGTATATCTCGTCATTGAATGGACTGAGGGAAATCGGGCTCAGCTAGTTGAGTTGCAACCTGGGATGTGCCGGGAGACGGCTGGATCCGGATCAAGTCATGTTTCGTCTTCGGCAACTCCCGGCGACACTGTCACCCAACGACCATCGATTTTTGACCGAGCAGCCAAACGATAGACCACCACAGTCAAATGTCTTCGCTTCGTTCCATACTGCGCCCTTGTACCTGCTGCCTAACTTCTGTCCGAGTCGTCGCCGAGGGCAGTGGTCACCGGTGGCGCTTCAATCTCCTGCAACGTCATTGTTCTTTCGCCGCTAGTGCAAAAGGTCATCCGGTTACCTTCCTTCCAATGGAACTACTACAATGGCTTGCAACTTGCCCGCGCCCACGCCCGAGCAAGCTTGAGACTCCCTATATCCTGGTGCACTTCAAGTTCGCAGGTGGAAGGCTAAGATGAAACATATACGCCCTCTCCGACTCCTGGGTAAAAGCCCCTCTCGTGAAAATGAGCTTCGACCTCTTACGATTACCTTTCCATTTCTTGAAGCTGGCAAAGTCATCCGGGTCAACCCAAGGCGCCCGCTGAAGATCCAATGTCACATAGACTTCAAGTTCACGATGTCATCTCGACAGCAACACGCCACCCAAGGCAATCATATAACGAATCAAGTCGACGGGGAGGAGTCCCTGGCGCCGCGTGGCGAATGCTACTGGAACTCGACGTCAAACAGCCTCGTATCTGAAGCCTTCAGTCCCTGAATCTCTGCAGCCATTCTTGTTTCTCTCAGCACAGCAGGAATTTGCCCAATGGGTATCTCGGCCCCTCGCAACGCTTAGCTCTGTCTCAGCCACACTAAGTATCTACCCTCGGCGAGTCTCAGCCTGGTCCCTCGGTCCTTCCCCCGCTTCACCTCCTTCTCGACTCGTTGGCCGTGGAAAGCATAACGAGCTTTAGAGTTTGAGTATTAACCTCCCTGCTTCTTTGGATAACGGCATGCATGTATATCAACGTGGCGTTTGGTATTGACTTCGAATTCGCGATATCGGCTTCTTTTCTGTGGCGTTAATTTCATGGCTTACCTCTGCGCTAGAGAAAACCTTTCCTACCGTGCTGGAGGTATTCTTACTGCTGGTTCGAGCTTTCTGGTTTCCGGGACATGCATGGCAGCATCTTTGAGGCGGCGGCGTTCCTTTTTCCCCGCGAATGTTCCCTCCGAGCCTATTGTGCGTCAAATAAAGTGCGCCGCTGCACACCGTCTACGCAGAATATTATTGTTCCTTCAACCCTTCCATTTGGCACGATCCGTGCCTTCATTCTTTCGGCATGTTCACGTCTCCTTCTGCATCTCTGTCCACGTTGGCTCAATTTTACATGAACTTGGGCGAGAGATCCCACGCATGAATCGCAGGTCGCCGCCACAACAAATGGTTGGTGCTTATCTTAAGTTCATCCCCGCTGAATACAAGACGCGCCACAGAATCTCGTCCTGGGTAATAGAACAGAACCACGCTGCAATACAATGCTCGGTCAATCAATGGTGAAGTTGCGGTCTCGTGGCAGTTGGAATGTTCTACGGCTGCGCCACCGAGCCGCGGAGCCGAGCGTGTTCGCTCGCTGATCAATGTAAGGTCAATCGCAAGTTTCTCTACCTGCATAGCAAGGCTCACACCACGCCCAATCTTCTGAGAGGCTAGCACCGAGTCCGTGACAGCAGTATTCAAAGCAAGCCACCAGGTATGTATCTGATACACATGTACGTCCCCGATAGCAAGTTCAGGAATATGAATTCGGGCCCACAGCTGGTGAGCGCTGACCAACCACCCGATCAGCCCACCTAGCGTTTGATAAAGTTTGACGCTAACTCACTAATCCGCGTAGAGATTCACCCGATGGCCACGTGTGAACGCGATTTGCACGGGGATCTGGATTCTGCGTAGGTAAGGAGACCTACCACCGTTTTACCCGCTTGAAGAATCATGGCAAGAAGTATGCGCCCACAAATTAGCGGGACAGGTCACTATCCCCGTGAAAGGCCCGCCACCTACGTGGCATTTATTAATAAAATTGTCTAAACGAGTTCAGCTCATATATCTTCTCAAACTAGCGTTGGAAACTCCTTGTGTTAAAGACACACTCAGCACCTCGCTCGATCAACGATTGTACCGTCCGGGCGATCGTTCATTTGACGGATTATAATATCCAAGTTCTATCGAAACGAAGGGATGGAATAGTCTGGAAGAGTGGAGTCTTGTCGTATTCCAGAATTTCTGTATCGAGAATTGCTTGACACTGCATGACATTGACAAATCAGCGACGAGAGGTTCTCTGGAGCGATCTCGAGCTCTAATGACATGCCGATCACGAATATGGGGCAAATCTGAGAATATATGCAAACAACCGAAGCGTGGTGATGTGTTCCCGCACCGCCATGTACTCGTGAATCGATAACTAGGGCAGGAAGTGGGATAACATTACAATTTCCATGGCTTCCAATTCTTGTGGTGAGGAGGGTATCAAAAGAAAAAACTCCGGAACATGGGCATGGCGCGCCGAATTCCAAGGCATGCGGAGTTGCCAATTGAACAATTGGCCCTCAAAGAATTCCGTCCGGTTGGCAGATGAGAAAATCTGAACAAGCCGTTCTCAAATCGCACGCCAGAACATAGGTACGACCGCAAATTTTATAGAGTATCTGTCTTAGAGAGACTAGCCAGAACATGAGTTTGCAGTTGCAGGAGGACAAAACAGGTGAGAGAATCGGGTTCAATTTCCTCCCTTTGTTCGCCTTTCATTCGCCCCGGCCATATTTTGAGGGAGGCGCGATTGAGTCAGGAACAATGCACGCAATCCTGCGCACTCCCAGCGACAAGAAGCGGGCGTGGTGTACGGTACACCGCTGTGAAGACTAAAATGTTGAGTTGTGAGATTAAATTCGGCAGCTGAACGGGGTTCGACTCCCCGCGCTCGCATAGGTGGTCCGTATCAAAGTTTTGAACATCTTGTTTCTTTTGTTTCTTTTGCAGACGGCTCATTTTTTCCACCCAACATGCTTGACCGGCCAGATGTTCAGACTTGTTCAAGTTACGTAGCTTCGATCCAGCCCGGAATTGCTTCGACGCCGTTGAAGCCTCGACTTGCAATTATGTTCGGCTTACAAACGAGGAGCATTAATGCCGCCGAACCTGCATTAATTATTACGCCATAGCCCAGACGTTGAATCAACTAGCATCGCCAGAATCAGCCAGAATGCAAGCACTAAGACGCCGGTGCTTCTTGAGCCAGCTGCCCTCGCATGTTCAGACACCGGAGTGCATTAAGCTTAACATTTAATTACATTATGGCTGTCTGAACTCCACGCTTGTAATGCGACTGCGGCGCTGTCAAGCCATCTTCCGGTGCCTCGAAATGACGCTCGCTGAAGGCATTGAATCAGTTGGCCCTGCCGGCCTGGGCTGAAATTCAAACATCGGTCTCGACTTCAAGACTCCTGATTGTGGCGAGTGTCTGTCCCTGAGGATGATTTTCTGTTCCATGAGCGAAAGAAGATGACCTTAACAAGGAGGCGCAGAAGTGTGCCAGTAAATCAAGAGCCAGCACAGACACATACTTTTTGCTTTCACTCGGTAGTTCTGACCGGGGTACGCTGGAGCGTTAATCCTACTGTGAGGTAGAAAGAGGCGAAGCACAATTACTACTATCTCAATTTCGGGATCAGGGACCGGAATGCCCGCCGAGAAGCTCGGGGTTTTAGCAGCTGGAAAGTAAGCCTGCGAAGAAAATGCGGTCTTGAATCTGGGAGGGTACTGTAAATGATATGAGAAGGCGCCTATCTGCAAAAGAGTGAGCTGAGCACAAACCCGTAGGATAGTGCATTACCATAAATTACAGCTGCCGCGCGACTTCAGCCTCGTCTGACTCATCGTCGCTGTCGCTTTCCCGCTCCTGCACCTCTCGCGTGGCGGCCTCCAGCACCTCTAGCTCCCAGCCGATCGCGCTCTTCGGCATGTGTGCGTTCTTCACCGCCGCCCCGATCTCGCGGAGCGTGTCGTCCCTGTCACACCTGAGCATCACACCGAAGGGGAAAAGGAAAGGGGTGTACCGCGCATACGCCTGCACCCAGACACAGAAATCCTCGAGCCAGATCTTACTGTACACGTAATACACCTCGTGATGGTCGAGGACCGACTTCAGCTCCAGGAGGCATCGCAGGATGGTGCGCTTCCCCAGGAGAAATAGCCCCGCGACGTCAGCACGACAGGCTTCTGCCAAAGCGAACGACCGATATAGCGGGAACGCCAGGCACCGGCGATACGACTGGGACAGGGATGCAGCGAGGTCCGGGGGGGACGGAGCTTGCGAGGAAGTAGTTGGCGCGCTGTAAGGGGGTGGGTCGAGTGCGGAGAATGCGGGGGTTATGGAGCAGATAGTCCAAGCACTCTCGGGAGTGAAATCGCCCTGCGTGGTCCGTATCTCGTACACATAGGAAAATAGAAGGGTGACGAGGGTGAGGTACAGGTTTTTGGCTTGGCGCGCGTCTGTTAGGTCTGCGGGAGGATCAAAAAGTTGGCACTGTGGCCAAAGGGCGAACGTACACTCTTTGCGCGGGAGGTTTAGCAATGCGAGGTTTTCGTCTTCGGTGAATTGGAAGGGACCGTTGGTACCGAGATGAGGATTTCTCCATAGAATGAGCTCCTGGATGTATTCGTCGTCCGCGTAATCGGCCCTGAGGTGCAGTGAGATGTATCGTCACGAGGATCAGAAAGGAATGCAGACATATAATGTTCCTCGTCCCATTTCTCGTCTTCGTGTTTCCACCGCCTTACGCGTCGCTCTTGGACAGTGCATGTCTCGACATCAGGTCCGAGCTCGTTCACTTCGTTCTCTGTGTGCGCTACATGCTTGAAGTAGCCCGAGTACAGGTTTAAAAATCCATAGGATTGAGTGAGTGTCGTCGTGATCGGCGGGTCGATATTCGGCACTTCCTGAGGTATTTGCCAGTCGTTCTCGGCCGCTGTCGCATTGGCGTGAGCTACCTCTATCATCGCACAAAGCACTCATACCAAGCAAAATCTCTTCGTGTTCTCGCTCGTGGTCCAGGGACAATGCATTCGTTCGCGAAACAAGATCATCCGCGTCGTTGATGTCTTCCTGCCCAAGAACTTCGATCGTAGGTGTCTCCTGAGATGGCCGCGGAGCCAAGAGTTTTGACAGTAGATCTAGGTCAGCAAATTCCTGCCCTTTCGACTCCTTGGTCAACGTGACGGTCAAATAGCCCGAGCTCGGGTCATATCGGGCCGCAGACGCTTCATCTTCGAGAACAGGGTGCGGAAAGTTGAGCCGCAAGAAATACGGGTTGATGTGAACCGTGAAAAGCGTGTCGTCGACGTGAATTTCCACATCTGCCGCCTACTTGACGGTGCATCCGGGTCAAATCGTGGCGACCGGAAGAGAGGGAAATCCGCACGCGAACTGAGGGACAGTACATCTTAATGACTACCGATTCCGGCGTCTGGCTGCACTCGAAGCGTGGGGTAATCATTTGCGAGATGTGAGGGTAGCTGTTAAAATTGAAGCGCCAACAACAAAGATCAACAATGACGGAATCCGTGTTCGGTTGCCTTCGGCCGCCTCGAGCCTCACCGGAAACTTCCGGAGAACCCGTGCCGCTGACTTGCGCTGACGAAGACCTACCTCATCGCTGCCAGTGCTACATAAATAGCATCGCACCCCCTTCGATGGCCACTCTTGTCCCACAGACCCACATCACAGAGAATAGGACTTGACAATGGACTCTGGCCTGCGCGATGTTCAAGCTCTCTTCTTCGACGTCTTTGGAACCGTCGTGGACTGGCACAGCTCCCTCACTCAAGAACTTGCAATCCTCGGCGATAAATATGGCGCTGGTACGTTAAATTCTCTGCCAAACAATCTACACTCATGCCGCGGTCCCAGATGGTGATTGGAGCGCATTTGCAAAAACCTGGAGACGCGGGTATATGGACCACTTGTAGGTGGAAGCTCATGACTCCTAGCTGAAGTTAAACCAGTGCAACAGCCAAGAAATTTTGCAAGGTGGAACTGGGTCGTTGAATGTAGACGAAATCCACCGGGAGGTATGTTAGATATCCGGGCCTCTACCAGAGTTCAACCTACCGGTCGCCAGATTCTTGAGGACATGCTCCGATCCCCAGAGTGGAGCCATTTTGGAGCTCAGCTCGACAAGGATGAAAGGGGACGACTGAATACCGCGTGGCACCGTTTGCACGGTTGGGCATTTCAGCTCTTTTGCCTTCGATGACGCTAATTCGAACGCAAAGGTTGGCCCGACGTGACCACGGGCCTGTATGCCTTGAAGCACCACAAGATTATTGCAGCGCTCTCTAACGGAAACGTGCGCCTCTTGGTCGACATGGCGAAGCACACCGACCTCCCATGGGACGTCGTCTTCTCGTCCGAGCTCTTTGGCTCCTTCAAGCCGTTTGTTTCTCTTCATCTTTAATTCGGCCGCGCATACGCTGATTTTACGCCAGCGACTCCAAGGTATATCACGGCGCGATGAAACACCTTTCCCTAGCGCCCAAGGACTGCGCGATGATCGCTGCGCACGCCTGGGATCTGCGGGGTGCCGCGCGGGCGGGGATGAAGACTATCTACGTACGACGCGCCGCAGAGGAACCCCTGGATCAAGAGGAAGTCAAACCCAAGTCCGAAGGCGGTGAAGTCGATTTGGTGGTTGACTCGTTCACTGAGTTGGCGGCGCTGTTCGCCGGAGAGAAGTAGCTGGAGTTTGTAATTTCTATACGACTTACTACCCGACTCTTATTCCAAAATATTTGTTTGGCAGTCACTCGACTTGATTCCTCGAACATGACGATGAATTCGATGAATAGGCCAGATAGCCTGCAGCAATTAATTGAACGTAAGAAAAGTTTGCATTAATTGATCGTTCAAAATCTTCCATCAATGGCCCAAGCGTAAATTACACTTGCCAACTGCCTCCGTCTGGGAGGAACGCTCGTATAACGAGAGGGCCTGCTCCCAGTATCTGGCGGCCTTGAGCATGTTCCCCTCGCCCTTCATTAGATCCCCAAGACGAATCAAACAATCCGCTCTTCCTTTGTGAACATCCATGAGAGTGAATCCATCCAAGGACAGCATGAAGAGGCTGCGTGCAGTTTTATCGTCGCCTCGGTGACAGAAAATATCCCCGATCCTCCTAAGTGCCTGGTGTGTGTTGTCGTAGTCGTCCATTCGCCGAGACAGTGCTAGGTGAAGCACGTAGTATTGAAAGGCGACATCGATTTGAGACCCTGAATAGGCATTATCTCCTAACTTTTGGAAGCACTCGTTCATCTTCTCGGCGTTGCTCCCTACGAGGTCAAGACACTGATTATACAGTTTATCGGCCTGCGTTAATTCACCGAGTCCATGGAATATGTCGGCTGTGTTAATGTCACACAAGACCCTCCAGCGGGCCCCAGCATCAAGGGTCCTATATACCTGGACAGATCCATGGTCCACGTTCCCACCCGTGGCCAAATCGACGAGGAATAGATTTGCCAACGCAAGTCCGTGATCGTGTTGTTGCTTGCCGTCGTGAGCGGTCATCTCGGCAATGACCATGTATATGCTCCGCGCTTGATCATATTCTGTCTTCCGAAGGTGGATTTCCCCCTGCATAAATAGCGCGTCAAGTCCACGGTCGCCGTTTTCGACACCTAGTCCTTGGGCAAGTGACATAAGGTCACTACACAAATCAGCAGCGCGGGCGTAGTTCCCAGCGGTGATGAAATGAGAGACCCGGTTCAAAATGCAGAGAAACTCGGTATCCAGATCGCCGCCGGCCTGGGCATGTGCCTGGGCCTCAAGGGTGAGCGCCCAAGCCCGACGAAGATTGCCAAAATTGTGCAGAACACCCGACATTCCCCGGAGAACCTGGGCGAGAACGTTGTGATCATGGGAAACCATC